GGGGGGGGGACGGCGGGCGGGGAGGGCTGGGTGGCCAAGGGGGCCGGGCTGCCCGGAACGCTCCGCTTCGCCCCCCCCCCCGAGCAGCCCCGGGACGACGCCGAGGGGCCCAGCCCCCCGCTTTTGGGGGCGGGGGCGTTTCAGGCGCCCCGGGGCCGAGGGGGCGCTTCTCCCGCCCGCTCCGCGCTCTGCAGCCGGGGAGCAAAGGGGGGCGGGCTGGAGGGGGGGGGCTCTGCAACAAGCCCGCCAACTCGGCTGGGGGGCCGAAGCCCCCTCCGCTCCGCTCGGCCCCGCCGGACTGACGGACGGAGCGAAGGCCTCCTCCAGTCGCCTGGAAGCGGCTGATGCGGGTCCGGAGGCGGGCGGGATGACGACCCGCGTCTGAAAGCAGCTCGGGCCATTCCGCCGTCGCATCCTCGTCTGCCTCGGGGGTCTCCAAACTTGGTGAACTTCAACTCCCCGAATTCTCCACCCAACAGCTGGCTGGGGAACTCTGGAGTCGAAGTCCATCGGTCTTAAAAGTTGCCACGTCTGGAGACCCCCGACTCTAATAGACACAGTGCTACCAGCCAGGACGTCGTCGCAGACGCCGTTGTTCTCCAGGAATGTAAATGCTCTGGCTACACGTTGAAAACGAAGCCCTCCCCAGAGAGGAAAAGCGCCCCCCACATTTCTTGTTCAAATGAGAGAAAGAGGAACTTTTTTCAACATCAATAGAGAATAAAAGGGCTGCCTTTTGAACCGCGGAAGGGCCTTTCACTAAAAAAAGAAAAGAAAGGGCAGAGAATAGAGATGGAAGCTGGGTGATTATTTAGAGGTGTTAATACAAATGACCTCCAACAGGATGTTAGCAGAACTATGAAACAGAGTCGGTAAGGGTTTACTTAAGCCCTGGGAAGTATTGGCCAAAAGTGGAATGTTTTGTCATGTGCAACTTTTGATAAAGTGACTTATGTTGAGCCAAAAGGGAAGGGAAAAAAAGGGGAAGAGCCTGGAGAGCAAAGAATGGCTGAAAGCATAAAAAAAAAGAGGCATTTTAATTGAGGATGGGGGGGGGACAGTTTTCTGGGCAAGCAAGAGGCTCCGCCCCCAAATTCCAGGGCGGAAATGTAAGGAAGGTTGTTGGGGAGGGGTCTTCTAGATCCTAGAAGTTGGGAAAGGTCTTTCTTGGAGGAGGAGCAGACGGAGGAGCAAGAAAAGTAAATAAATCCCTTGAATTGGTTTCAGTGGAAGACAGAGAATATTTAACTAGGCAGATTTTTCTGCAAGCTTCAGTGCGTTTCCTCGGTGCTCTGGCGTGAACATGTTACGGTCAGCAAAGCTTGGTCAGCAAAACTGAGAGGTGGACTCACAAGACAGTGGAGATGCCTCCTGGCCTTTGGCTCAGGGTCCCAAATTGGGGAATTCTGGAATGTGGAGGTGCCAGGTTAGGAAGGCAGCACAGGATTGTGACTGTGAGGGACCAAAGATTGTACGATTAGCAATTTGCTTGGGTTCGACAGAGAATTGTGGCTTATTCAACAAATCATAGTTAAACCAGGAGGCAGCATCGCTTATCAACCAGGTGGCTGCCTGTCTTGGCCTCCCCCTTTTAGCATCGTAGGAGCAGAGCAGCTCTGCCTCTCTTCCCAGGTGAATGAAAGATGGCTAAGTGATGGTTTGTGGGAAGCTAACATTTCTCCACAATCAACTGGTTTAGTTTGCCAGATGACCCAAGAGTCCTTCTTGAAAATGAAGTCCAGCTTTTCCAGACAGGTGACAGGTGAAACATTCATGGTTTCATGCCTGGAAAGGTTCCATCTTTAGAGTTTGGATGGGGTTAATCTTACAACTTTCCAAGAAAACAAGCAAACCAGAATAGGGGCTTTTTAATGCCCAGGAGACCTCAATGTTCTCCTGCCTCAGCTATCCCCCCCCCCCTTTCTTTTTTTTCCATGGGGCTTAGAGCACTAATTGGAGACTCCCGGAGTAGACGACGCTGCCGCAACATTTTATTCTGAGTTAAGCACCAGCTGTCCACCGAGCCACTGTTGTTTGTAATCCATGATTAATGGCTTAGGATGGTTCTTGAACTCAACCACTTTGGGTTTAGACAAGAAACAGGTGTTACTTTCCTTCTTGGAGCTGTCTTATTTTAAGAGCTGGCTGCTATAAATAGGTAAAAATCCTGATTTCCGGGGCTGAACTTGGAACTGCGTTCTCTTCTACACAACCGTTGGAGAAGATTGCGAGTTGTGTAAGCTTGTCCTAAGCTGATGTTCCCACCCATCGGTTTGGTCCAACACGTTCAAGTTCAGGAGGAGTGGGGGGGAGGGAAGAACAGGGGCCACTCTATGAAGAAAGAACGAGACTATTTGCAATTTGTTTTGGGAGAAACATCAGAGGTATTTCTTCATGCTTAAAAATAGAACGCCGGCGTTTTGCAATAACCTTGAGTGTTTCAAGAGAATTCCTGGCTGCTTCGGCAGCCCCTAAAGAAAAAGGAGGCTGTTTGTTGCTAGACAGTATTCACAATAACCCCTTCTGGGCAGCAAATAAAGAGGGTTGTAACTCCTGATCCTGTTTAGATTATGATTAGGTCGGAGATCTCTGCATAGCCACGCAAAGCTCTTCTTCCAATCACCTGGAAGCTATTTACCAGCAGGATCATAAACCAGCATTGACTGGAATTTATTTGACCGGTATGGTACCATAAACAGAGCAAATATCTGTGCCAACTGCTGCTTCTCTCAACCAGAGCTGACTCTGGTCGTAGTAAATCCAATTGGTGGCACTTTGGGCTAGTTTGAGCAAGTCCTGCCCCCTCCCCACGGGTCTTCCTTCTGCAGGAGCTTTCCATCGGGGTTCCTCATGCGTCAGGTAGATGCCACCCCAGCCAAGGACAAGGAGAACTGTCCTAGCCATGGTTTGTACCCACAACAAACACAGAGAACTTGCCTAATGGCAGTGGTTGGCTAGCCCCGGGTGGGCTCTCCCCTCTCCTTCACCCTCCCAGAGTTTGATTGGCAGAAAAGATTGCGACAGAAATGTCTTATGCAAAATAAAGCAAACAGGAAACGTGGGGGTTTTCTTGTTCTCCTTTGCCTCTCCTACAAAAGTCTCTCTAGCAGGGCAGACGACTCTCCGGGGCGGGCTTCGGGGTCCTCAGGCTTGGCTTGGGCTTCCTTGGCAGGAGAGAAACGGGCTGGGCCGGCGGAGAAAGAGAGCTTAAGACACGGTAAGAGGGAGACGGCTTTGGGGATGCTCTGAGGATCAGGGCTGGCTTCCTGTGTGGTTGTTATATTAATTCTCTTCTTCTTGAAGGTAGCATTTTCACACTGCTTCCTCTAAAAGGATCCCTTCTTTTATCTCTCTTGGTTTCTTAACCCTCTTTCTTTTTTTTAAAAAAAGGCACATAATTCCAGGGTTTTTTTCAATAGTGATTCAAGGGTAGAATAGTTAATTAGGGAAGTAGCAAATTTCCTGGTGATGGTGAGGATGATTTGTTAAAACTGTATGTTATCTGACTGTCAACGACTCTGGGTGGGTGTCTTTGAGCAGAGCCTGGGCTGTTGTTTTCTGCTGGGGAGGTGCCCTACATTTGGTTTTCTGCATTGAGTAAGGACCTGGACTCAGTAACCTAAATCAGGGGTCTCCGATCTTGGCCACTTTAAGACCTGTGGACTTCAACTCCCAGAATTCATGCTGGCTGGGGAATTCTGGGAGTTGAAGTCCACAAGTCTTAAAGTGGCCAACTACGGAGAGCCCTGAAAAACGATCACTTTAGCGGCGTGATCCTTCCTTTCTTCCTCTTTTTATCTGTCCATGAATGCATTCCTAGGAAGGTGACTGACTGAGTCTTGACTAACCAGGATGGCTTGTGATCTGCTTCTGCAGCTGTTCTCTGGGAGGTGATGTACTTTTGAGCGACCACCATGTCGATGTATCTGAAGCACTTCACGGTGGTGGGAGATGACACTGCCCAGTGGAACAACGACTACAAGAAATGGGAGGAGGAGGAGACGGAAGAGGAAGGAGAAGGGAAGGCACCCGAGGTTGCGGTGAAAGTCGAATCGGCACCCAGGCGTCCAACCTTCAGAGATGTCATGAAGAGGCTGTTCCACTCCCACAAGTTCCAGGTATGGGTGGGGGACTCTTCAGATGATGGTCACCACGGGCTCCCTCATAGGAGTTTGGTTGTCACACGAGCAAAGAGCGATACTGATAATCTTGAGTGCCACCTCGTTGCTTGATTCTGGCGCTGTGTCGTTCCACTTGGTCTTAATCATGGATTGTTGGTCAATCTTCACTGGATTGGATCTGCAGAGTTTGTTAACTCATGGACAGTAGTATCCAAATCCCAGGTATGGTTTCTGCCACGTGCTTCTCCAAAACCCCAAAGATCACGTTCTGCTATAATTAGCCATGTGAACTTAGCCAGTCTTGGTTTATTTAATAAACCGTATAAGTAAATTATGGCATCCCATGGTTGTGTGCAGATTTTCAATCAGGTTTATCACTGTGGGGTCCTTGCTGCTCTCTGAGGTTGGTTGCTTTCTTGTAGATGTTTCATTACCAAACTAGGTATCATCATCAGTGCTAGTAAAGGAGTAGGGTTTGCTCTCTATAGATTAGTGGTTTGCCCTGTCAGATGAGAGTTGATGGGAGTGGACTTGGGTTGTTGTTTATTGTTAGCTTGCTTATCTGAGTTGGGTTATCATTCCTGGTTTTCCAGCCAGGAATCCAATGCTTTAACCAGCATTTCTCAGTCTGGGCCACTTTAAGATGTGTGGACTTCAACTCCCAGAATTCCCCAGCCAAGACTTGTGTGTTGGACTTCGGTTATATTCACTGCTAACATAAACGGGAGCCGACCTCAACCTCTGGTGATGGATTTCCAGGAACATGTTATTGTTTTTACCCGAATGCTCTCCCTTATCCTCCCAGATCTTGGTGGTTTGCCTGGTGATCTTGGATGCTGTGCTGGTGCTGGGAGAGCTGCTTCTGGATCTGAAGATCATTCATCCCGACAAAGAGGAGATCGCACCAAAGGTGAAAAATGGGTGAACTGAGGAGACTCTCCAGGCAGGAGCGGCCTTAAGATCAGCCAGAAGGTTGTGTCATCCCCCAACCCCCCCCCCCGCTGTGTCCTGGATGGCTTTTTCAGCTACCCGCGGCCCCTTCTGTGCCCCCCAGGTGCTTCACTACCTGAGCCTCTCCATCCTGTCCCTCTTCCTGGTGGAAGTCAGCTTCAAGCTCTTCACCTACCGCCTGGAGTTCTTCCACCACAAGTTCGAAGTCCTGGACGCCCTGGTGGTGGTCGTCTCCTTCATCCTGGACATCGTGGTCCTCTTTCAGGAGCATCAGTTTGAAGCGCTTGGCCTGCTGATCCTGCTCAGGCTGTGGCGAGTGGCCAGGATCATCAATGGTACGTCTTGGAAGCAGGATGGGAATTAAACTCTAAGAACCGTGTCCTCTTTATCCAAGGATGACTGAGACACTTTGAGTGAAAGCTCCTTCTCTAGAACTTTTTCCCTTCTCCCCTCCTGTCTACCAAGACTGCCTTTAAATACCCCCCCCCCCGCTTTGCCCAAGGCCGTTGGTTCAAGGGGTGGGCTCTCAGAGGCCTGATCCTATGGGAGACCCCTGAATAACAGAGCTGGAAGGGACCTTGGAGGTCTTCTAGTCCAACCCCCTGCTCAAGCAGGAAACTCCATACCATTTCAGACAAATGTATCCAATCTCTTTTTAAAACCTCGTGTTGGAGCACCCACCCCCCCACCCACCCCGTTTCTGAAGGAAGCCTTTGCCCTGGTTAATTGTTCTCACTGTCAGTAAATTTCTCCTTGGTTCTAAGTTGGTTCTCTCCTGGATTAGTTTCCATCTTTTTGAGAACTGATAAAAGAACTAGAAAGTGTTAAGTTAGCCTCCAAGTTTGTCAATGTTTATACCATTCCAGCCCTCCGTTCCCTTTTCTGCCATGCCTTCCTAAGCAGGAGGTTTACTGTAAATGTTTTGCAATGCTAATTTTTAGGTGGCCCCCAGGCTTGGCTGATAGTTTTGGGAACTGTTCTGTCCTTCAATTCTATCTGCAGGAATCATCTTATCAGTGAAGACCCGCTCAGAACAGCAGATCTCCAAACTGAAGCAAGCCAATGTACAGCTGAGTGCCAAAGTCCAGCAGCTGGAAAGCAGCTGTGCAGAGAAGGTAAGTTTTTAATTCCTTCAAGAGGATTGCCCTGACCCAGCCGAAACGACAGGATTTCTAGCCTACTTGCCACTAAATTTATTCCAATGTAAGGGCACGGCTTTGACTCTGCTCTTGGAAGTGCCCAGAACCCCTCTTTTTTTTCCCCCATCAAATATAAAATGTAGCCAGGAAGAAAGGAAAGGAAAAGAATCAGTAATGATAACTGAGAATTCAGATGTCATATTTTTATTTAATAGTTAAGAGATAACTGCTCGTAGGCTTCCTTCAGAGCTTTTAAATTCCACTTTCCTTCTTCTGTTCATCTGATTTTTTCCCCCCAAATTGGAAAAGGGCTGTTGATAAAAAACTTGCATCCGAGGCCTGAGGGACACAAGAAACCACCTGATTTCTTTTTCTTCAACAGGAAATAGAGGTTGAAAGGCTGAACAATCTCTTGAAGCAACACGGGCTACTCAGTCAGCCTAAACAAGATGCCTGAATTGGACCTGGGGTGGCCAATCTCCTCCGTGGATTCTGTTCTGGCCCCGAGAAGTTACTTCACGTTTACAGGGTGACCTTGGTAAAAAAATATCCTTTGGCACATTTCTCAGCACGGGCGCCTTTCCTCCCAGGCTGATGCCCTTCAGATAGGGTGGACACTGCCTTCTGCCCTCCTCCTAGTCATGCTCAGAGGGGGGGGGGGTTGGAGGGCGCTCGGCTGGGACTCGGCTGCCCT